TGTATAATACTAAGTTGTATATTCTCAAAGTCATTCACAAACAGAAAGTCATAAAAAAGACAGTAAGATGTTAGGATTTTTGACCTAATCGGGATCATTTAAAGTCAATTAGATTTCAACAATTTTACCTATAAAGCTCAAAAGTCTGTGGTAATTGAGTTCTTATATCTGCTAAAGAAATTCACCAAGAAAAGGCTGCCAGAGAAGTTCAAAGACATGGTTAATACAATGGACAGTACTTTTCTTCATCTGTCCTTCATCTGGCAGTAGTGTTGCTCATCTGCACGAAACCACCTACGTTTCTCATGTGGAAAGCTATGGAATGCTGAACATCCTCAGCAAAATCCTTGAAGGTCCTTCAAATGTTTATGCTTTGCTCAGCCAAAATAAACTTGTACAGTGACCTTGCGAACAGATGCCTGGTAATGAGGTCATAGAACTGAGTAACATTTTCAGAAAATTGCTTTACGGTGTAATAAATGTTCTGATTAGATTCCTATTTTCACCTTTAACATGCTCAGGTGGTTCAACCTGGGAAACCTAGTCAGGGTTATTACCCATTCTTCAAAGGTCACACCAAGAATCCAAGAATGTTTAGCCTCAAAGATACTTTAAACAAACTATATATTGTAAAAATTTTAAATAATTTTCAAATCTTACTGTTGGCTTTCTTGCAGCTTCTCCTTAAGCCTGACCTATTTCCTATTTCAGTTTCAATTTACTCTTCGGTATGAAGTGTCTGGTTCAGTGATTCTTCTATGACAATGCCCTTGTTTGACATCTGCAGAGATGAAACTAATTTCGTGTACTTTAAAATAAGTACAGTATAACTTGAAGCAAATAGGGTTAACATTATGCTATGTTCAGCATATTTAATGACCATTTCTAGTGAATAATATAGACTCTAGGATGGGATCTCTAACATTCCTGTACTCATGAGAATAGTGAAGGTTACCTCATATCCAGAGATGTTATGGATAAAAGAATCACAGCATTGCAAACAAATGGGGACAGTTCCAAATCCAGTATCCGATTTCATTTAAGGGATATGGGCTTCTATTTGTTTTGCAGGAGTGACTTAGACGATTTTTATCAATATTACTGCCTTTGGGGTGGACAGGTGATTTTAAGGTGTTAAACATATAAATTAAAAGAAGCAATAAATCATAAGAGAGCCAGAAAAATAGCTATATGAAATAGATACATTTTTGTTTTCATGGCATTTTTACAGAAAAGTATTCCTGTGAGATAATGCTTATTTTAATAATGAAGAGTAATGGGTGGGGTCTTATCAACTAGAGGTGAAATACAATTTTCAGTTAGAAATAAAATTTTTGTGGGCTATTCCCTAGCTAATATAGACATTAGCTCCAGACAGACAGTAGATTGTGCAGGTGAGGGCTGTATCTATCTTGCTCATTGCTGCATTCCCAGTACCTACTATGCAGAGGGCATTAAATAAACAGATGCTGAATAAATAGTATGTAGAATGCTAAACACCAATGGAGGCGAAGTGTAAGATAAAAATAAATGGGAAGGGAATGAGGATAAGATAATACAGTGGGGACTGCTGATTCCCTACGTGGGAGTAGTAAATACAAGTCAAAATAAAACAAGTACCGCACAAAATAGTCACAATATGTACAAAGGCATCTCACAAAATAGGAGAATAATAGATTATTGTATGCAAATACTAAAAGTGAGGAGGAAAAATGGGATTTGTATGCTTGTTTTTTAAGACAATATTCTAAAATGTGTTCTCTAAATAATTTTTCAACTTGAAATTTAATTTTTCAGTTTTTCTCCACAGAACCATGTTGAAGAATGCTTTTAAATAGGAAAAATTCAGACAGCATCTTCATTGGGTGTAAATAAATACATGTACTTGATTTGCAAAGTCAAAAATGCTAAATTTTGTAGCAAAAAGCAACAAGCTTAGTCCCCTTCTCCTCTTCATCCCTTGCTGATGCAGCCCCTTTAAACCCTCTACTTTCCTATTGTAACAGATGAGGATTTTAGTTCTCTTCTACTTTCCTTCTCTTTCCCCGATACCCTCAATATGGCAAAACCACAGTTGTTAAATCCTTAGTCTGTGTTCATTATTATAATGTAAATGCAGTCATACTCCATTATTTCCTTTCTTATGTAACTTTTGTTTTTTTTTGCCAGAGTTAATGATCATGCCTTTTTTTTCTTTTTCATTGTCTTACCTTCTTTCTCTTTACGTTGCCGCCAATATATTTTTTCATGGTGCTCAGGGATCATGGGCAGCTGCATGGGCACCAGTGGCCTAGAGCCAATGTGTCATCTGGTTGAAGCATGCCCTCTCCCTGGTTTTATTACTTATTTATTTATTTAATTATTAGTATTTTTTGAGACAGAGTTTCACTCTTGTCACCTAGGCTGGAGTGCAATGGCGTGATCTTGGCTCACTGCAACTTCCACCTCCCAGGTTCAAGCAATTCTCCATGCCCAGCTAATTTTTTTGTATTTTTAGTAGAAACGGGGATTCACCATGTTGGCCAGGCTGGTCTTGAACTCCTGACCTCAGATGATCCACCTACCACGGCCTCCCAAAGTGCTGAGATTACAGGTGTGAGCCACCATGCCCGGCCCCTCACCGGTTTTAGTATCATCTCTGTGCAGCATGAAAGATCCTCTTGGCTTTGTAGGTCTACCAGAGCCATCCCTCCTGGCACCTTTCATCCACCACATCCAGTTTCGGCTGGCTGCACTTTGGACTTGCTGTGTGGTGTTCTCTCTGGGAATTTTTGTCATCTCCTTTCTGTGCTGAATAACTTGGTTCCCAGATCCCGTGGGTTTCCCTTTTTGTGGACCATTCCCTAGCTCTGGTGAACAAATCTGCCCTGACAAAAGATAACCAGGAGGTAAATCTTGTGACTCTGCATGCCTAGAATTAAGAAATTTCTTAATTCTAAGCTCACACAACCAAGAGCTTGACTGTTATAGTACTTGAGGGTGAAAATCATGATGGTATCATGGATGGTATTACTGTCTTCAAGCTTTCCTTGTCATTGTTTAGAAATTTAATGTCATTCTGATTCTACATCATTTGAATGTGGCATGCTTTTTTTTTTTGAGACGGAGTCTTACTCTGTGACCCAGGAGTCTTACTCTGTGACCCAGGCTGGAGTGTAGTGGCGCGATCTCAGCTCACTGCAGCCTCCGCCTCCTGGGTTCAAGCAATTCTCCTGCCTCAGCCTCCCGAGTAGCTGTGATTACAGGCGTCTGCCACCACGCCCAGCTAATCTTTGTGTTTTTAGTACAGACAGGGTTTCACCATGTTGGCCAGGCTGGTCTTGAACTCCTGACCTTAAGTGATCCGCCCGCCTTGGCCTCCCAAAGTGCTGGGATTACAGGCGTGAGCCACCGCGCCCAGCCAAATGTGACATGTTTTTTATATTTGGAATCTTTATGAATTCTTTCCTTATCACTGGTGTTTTGGGATACCCAATAACTTCACTTAGAGTCAGTCATTCTTTTCATTCATTGTGCTAAGTACTTGGTGGGTCCTTTCAATCTGAAGATTCATATCCTTCAGTTCTGGGAAATATTATTGCATTATTTCTTTGATAATTGCATCAAATTCCCTATTTTTAGAATTCTCAGTGGCTGGATTATCTCCTGGATAATCTTTTTTAGCAGATATGGAAATCAGGAATGCATTTTCACTAAGCAAGAAATAAAAAGCAAAATGAACTTCTAAAATAAAACGTAGCCCTTTAAGCTGAAAACTTTGCTATTTCTGTATTCATTTATAAACCTATCCTAATAAAAGAAAAAGCCTTTAGAGGCCAAATAACAGGAAAACTATGCTATATTAAAGTGCTGATCATTAATAATCATTAATAATATAGTTGTCTTAATAATATAGTGTATAGTGCTGCACAGTTAATAAATTTCCATTTAACCCTCAATGTAATGCTAATTTGAATTTTCCTTCTTATTCATTATATTCAGTTTGATACTTGTGCCAAAAACCTCTCTGAAAAGTGAAAGTGCCCTCATTTCATATCCCTTCGCCATTACAGTTATATAAAATCACCACTTAACTAGAATATTTATTTCCATAGCATTGTTGTTTTAGTTCAAGATAACTAAAAGAGACTAACTTGAAAGCAGAATACTATTCAGTCTCAATTTAATTTAATAGCAAAAACCTTAAATTTTCACTTGAATCTTGAATGGAGATAGACACATGATATTTATGTTTATTGGGCTCCTACTATATGCAAGCAAGCACTGTGCTTTTATATATTCTCACAGGTATATTACCCCCATTTTATACATGAAGCAACTAAGGAATACAGAAGGCTATTTTCTTTCCATACCAAACACACCAAAATCAATTATGCTAACGTATTTAAAATAAACCACACAAATTACAACATGCAAAGAAATCCAAAACCATAATGCAAATTTTTACAGAACACATTCATTTGATAACTTGGCTTGCAAACATAACAAATGACATTAGTAAGTGGCTAAATATCAAGTTTTAAGAACAGACTTTTTCATGCCTTATTTTGAATAATCAGTTACCTCAAATTGATTGAAGTAGAGGTGCAGAGGTAAGCCAGAAATCCTACCAAGATATTGCCATTGAGAAAGAGACAGAAAAAAAGAGAGAGAAAGAACACCAAAGACAGAGAAAGAAACAATGGTCATCTTTACTTCAGGTGCTTTACTCAAACTACTTTAAGGTCATTAAGTGGGAACACTATGACTACATGACATTTTCAGGCATGTATTATTTATTAACTACCTCTCATTTTGTGATCAATTGAGAGATTCAAAATATCAAGTATAGAAAATATAAAATTAAAATATCTTTAAAATTATTTACTTGTTTTCCAGTATTAGAAAAATAAACATACAGCAAAATGCCACAATTTTATAATGGTTTGAAATAAAAAGTCATTTTTCTTTATTTGTTAACTTAATGTGATACTGGATTAAAAAGGCAAATGAACAATTACCTTTACTGCTGCAGTAACAGCAGCAGTAGCTGCAAGGTTTAAACCTTGCCGTCCAAAGTTTACCATGGTTTCATAGCCTCGTTCCTTTGCTTGTACAATATAATCATCAATCTCCTGGGGGAAAAAGCCACAGATGTTAGTTTTACTTAAAAATAGTGTTAAGAAGCCCCAAAATAGAACATTCTTCCTATAATAGTTTCACAAATTTTATAGCATTAAGCATGTGTTGATAGGCATTTCTTTCTTTTCTTTTCTTTTTTTTGAGAGAGGGTCTCTTCCTTTTGCCTAAACTGGAATGCAGTGGCATGGGACAATAAGCGTGCATCACCATGACCAAATAATTTTTAATTTTTTTGTAGAGATAGGGGTCTCGCTATGTTGCCTAGGCTAGTCTCAAACTCCTGGGCTCAAGCAATCCTCCCATCTTGGCTTCCCAAAGTGTTGGGATTACAGGCATGAGCCACTGCACCCAGCCTAGGAGCTTCCTTTTTTTTTTTTTTTTTTTTTTTGAGATAGAGTCTCGCTCTCTCGCCCGGGATGGAGTGCAGTGGCACAATCTCAGCTCACTGCAAACTCCACCTCCTGGGTTCACGCCATTCTCCTGCCTCAGCCTCCTGAGTAGCTGGGACTACGGGCACCCACCACCACGCCCAGCTAATTTTTTGTATTTTTAGTAGACACAGGGTTTCACTGTGTTAGCCAGGATGGTCTCGATCTCTGAACCTCGTGATCTGCCTGCCTCGGCCTCCCAAAGTGCTGGGATTACAGGCGTGAGCCACCAAGCCCAGCCTGTTTTTTTTTTTTTTTGAGATGGAGTCTCGTTCTGTCACTCAGGCTAGAGTGCAGTGGTGAGATCTCGGCTCACTGCAATCTCCATCTCCTGGGTTCAAGCGATTCTCCTGCCTCAGCCTCCTAGCTAACTGGTATTATAGGCATGCACCACCATACCTGGCTAACGTTTTTTTGTATTTTTAGTAGAGGTAGGGTTTCACCAAGTTGGTCAGGCTGGTCTCATATTCCTGGCCTCAAGTGATCCACCCACCTCAGCCTCCCAAAGTGCTGAGATTACAGGTATGAGCCACCATACCTGGCCTAGGCTTAGGCATTTCTTAAAAATTTATGGAAGTAATTTATATATCTTACCCTTTCCTTTGAAGAAAGAAGTGGATGAAGGAATTTTCTATATATTAAACTTGCTCCTTTGGTATAGGGAGAAAGCAGCCATATGACAAAAGCAATCTTCAGCTCATAGTACAGGGGAAACCTAATAAGAAAAACATTTGGAAATAAACTGCCAGTGAAAAATAAACCACTCTAGAAATCACAAAAACACCTTTTAAAAAGTTCAGTCACTATGCTTTTTTTTTTTTTTCAGACAGAGTTTTGCTCTTGTCATCCAGGTTGGAGTGCAATGTCACCATCTCGGCTCACTACAACCTCCGCCTCCTGGGTTCCAGTGATTCTCCTGCCTCAGCCTCCCCAGTAGTTAGGATTACAGGTGCGTGTCACCACTCCCGGCTAATTTTTGTATGTTTAGTAGAGACGGGGTTTCACCATGTTGTCCAGGTCTGGTCTTGAACTCCTGACCTCATGTGATCTGCCTGCCTCAGCCTCCCAAAGTGGTGGGATTACAGGCATGAGCCACCACGCCCGGCCTATGCTAAGTTTTTAAATGTAAGAGTTAGTGATCAGGAGACAACTGTGTTTGAATAATCTTGTTTCAACTACAGATCAGTTCATGAAAGTGTGATCTGAGAGATTCCCCCCTCCTTCTAATACAAGAATCTTCCTTTATAGTAAGCATAGGAAAGCTGCCAAACTGAATGCAGCAGTTAAAAGAAGGCACTAATACCATTTATTCAGTGCACAAGGTATGGCCACCCTATCTGCAGAGCCAAACTGCCATGGAAGTACATGACCTACCTCATATGATAGTTGTGCCTATCAGAGCATGACTTCATATGCTCCAAGTGTACAATGTCTACCCCATACACACATCTTCATCTTTTTCAGAACTCCCAAAAAATATCCCTTTCAATTTCATTTGGCCAGAATTGCAGCACTCTGCAGACCTAAATTGTTCACTTCCAAGGAAAATACAAAGTGTTACAGTGGGCCTCCCCTGTTGGCCCAGTATACTTCCTCAGCTGTGGCTTTAACCATGTGACTTCCTTGCTTTGGCCAGCAGAAAATGAACATGATACATGTCACATGCAAGCAGAAGCTTTAAAACACCCTTTGACTCCTTCACTCCATCACCCTCAACCTCTTGCTTTAAGCTTTTGCCCTCTGGCATGAGAATAGCTGCTTCTTCAGCCTTGGTTTAAGGAGCCAGGTGAGGTCCTCACACCTGTAATCCCAGCACTTTGGGAGGCCAAGTTGGGAGGATAGATGTAGTCCAGGAGTTCAAGGGTGTGGTGAGCTATCATCATGCCACTGCACTCCAGCTTAGGCAACAGAGCAAGACCCTGTCTCTAAAACAACAACAAAAACAACAGCAAAAGTGACCTGACCCCAGTAAAAATGTAGTCAACCATTTGCCCTCATGTAGCTTGAGCAAGAAATAAGTTTGTTTTTCTAAGCCACAGTACTTTCATGGTTGTTTTTTTGTCACAGCAAAAGTTTGCTAATATATAATGGGAGGCTCAGTATCTTGTGAGAACCACAAAAATGTAGTCCATTTATCACTAAGATAAGTGATAGCTGAGCAAATCTGAGTTCTTCTGTCAAGGCAGGCAGGTAGAGGGCAGTGAGGATGACTTACTGTGTTGTCAACAAAGAGGTCTCTTCCACACTGCAATTACAGGAGTTTCTGGATTCAGTTGTTCATGTTAGACATTTTCTACATTGTTCATTTTTAAATAACATATATAGGCTACATTTGCAATTAAAAAAAAATGAAATCTTAAAAAAAGAACGTGGAAACTTAGAGGTAGCATGGTTTAGGATTTGTGCTCTGTCACTTAAAAACAGAGAGACCCCCATACCAAACCCCTATACCAAAAATATAACGGAAAAATGAATGAGTTTTGGGGCACAGGAAGCGACATTTTTACAGTATTTCAAATCAGAAGAGAGATACAGTGACATTTGCAAATAAAGGAAGGTTGTTAAAAATATTTTAGTTTGATGACTTCTATTTTTTTTCTAGCAAATCCAATAGGTCCTAATGTGCTACATGAATAGGAGAATAGCAAAATGGGAAAGACAGCTTAAGGAGAGAATAGTAAAGGTTTGAAACAGACCCAGGCAAAATGTAAGTAGACACTGATCAGGAGCAAGTAAAAGGAATGAGGTTCAAACTGATACCTATGTGAGCAGTTGATTAATTTTTTCGGCTGAATTTAGCAGTCCAGTTAAAGAAGTAAAAAAGAGTCATTTTGGCTGGCCGCAGTGGCTAATGCCTGCAATCCCTGCACTTCGGGAGGCCGAGGTGGGCAGATAACCTGAGGCTGGGAGTTTGAGACAAGCCTGGCCAACATGGTGAAACCCCGTCTCTACTAAAAATACAAAAATTAGCCAGGCCATGGTGGCATGTGCCTATAATCCCAGCTACTGAGGAGGCTGAGGCAGGAGAATCGCTTGAACCCAGGAGTTAGAGGCTGCAGTGAGCCAAGATGGTGCCACTGCATTCCAGCCTAGGCAACAGAGCAAGACCCTGTGTAAAAAAAAAAAAAAAGAATGAAAAAAAAAAAAAAAGACGAGTAATTGTTAGGCTAATTTAGACAGAAGGTTTGTGTGTCAAGGGCAGATGAAGATATCAGCAAGGTAGTAAACCAAAATGCTTTGAAAGGAGAAGTTCTCAAAGTGATGGCAGGGTTTAGATGGAAATGCACTACTGAAATACACCACAGGGAGATTCCAGTTGTCCAGTTAAGTACTGCTCCTTGGTAAAATGTCAAATCCCTGAGGATATAAACACACTTTAATTTTTGCCTCCTCTATTTGGAACAGAGCAGCCAGGAAGCTGGTGCTGAGTGGGTGTCCACGTGGGTGCTGACGTTTTCCAGTTCAAATGTTTGTAGATGAGAGTTTTAAGGATAGGACAGGGAGGGGGTGCTAAAACCAGATGCTGTGGGCTTCAAAAGCAGAGTCATTTAGGAAGTGATACAGGAAAATGTTCTGAAGTCATCAGTGCAGAAAAGGATGATGACAATCAACTTTCCCTATTCCAAGATACTGGGGGAAGGTATGTGGGAGGTGAGCAGGGAGTGGCGTATGGGGAGGAAAATGAGCTGCCTTTATTTGATGGGGACTCAAAGGAAAGTAGTGTTCTATGGGAAAGCAGATGACAAAAACAAATGGCTGAATAATTAGGTAACTTGATGAAAATCACTTAGTTAATAGCAAGAGCAAGGATAAGAGCTCAGGACACCTGATTATGAGTCTGCAATCTGGCCCCTTCTCAACAGCAAAACTTACCAAGCAACTGTTTGATCTGCTACTGTTTCAATCACAGTATAGAGAGCAAAAACAATCCAGTACATCATCCATCGAACCTGGAAATAATAAAAGTACTCATGAAACAACAGACGAAAATTATTTGCAACTCTGAATAATTACATGTATGTATGTATGTATGTATGTATGTATGTGTTTCTGTATACATAGTATGTTGGGTCAAATGCAGAAAGTGATGGTTTAATTTTCAACAGGTTTTATGTTTGAGTTCTTTACTACATCAACAGTCTTGGGATAGAAGGAGCAAAGATTAATAAATCTCTGGGGCTTGATGCAATATAATCTAGGAATCTAAATCAAGGAATTGGGAAAACAGGAACTATTTTTCTTCTTAATTGGAAGTAAGTTCTTTAAAAGATGTTATCTACTTGCTTCTTTATGAATACTATAAATTATTTATTTAATTTTATTTTTTGCAGAGATAGGGTCTCGCTCTGTTGCCCATGCTGAAGTGCTGTGGTACAATTACGATCATGGCTCACTGCAGCCTCGACCTTCCAGGCGCAAGTGATCCTCTTGCCTCAGCTGCCCGAGTAGCTGGGACTACAGGTGTGCACCACCACACTTGGCTAAATTTTTTTTGTTTTTTTGTAGAGAAGGGGTTTTGCCATGTTGCCCTGCTGGTATTGGACTCCTTGGGCTCAAGCTATCTGCCTGCCTCGGGCTCCCGACGTGCTGGGATTGCAGGCATGAGCCACCACGCCTGGCCTTAGCTATTTAATTGTTACATAAGTAATATAGTACAATATGATAAGACTACATTTAATCTTTATTAGTCTTTAAACCTGTATATTCCTTATTTCCCAATATATAGAAATTGTTCAGAAAGTGAAGAACAAGTCCTGGGCTTCTTACTTCTATTAATGATGCATCCATAATGCTAGTTACCCAGGTGGAGAGCATAAGGTTGGTCTTCTTCCTCTTCCCCTGATATAAGTCTGTAATCTCCACACATCTTTCTCCTTCTTCCACTCTAATTCCACAATGGTAGTTCAGGATGTTTTAATCCCTGGTCCGAATCAGGGCCTGCTGAATGGTCCCTGGCACTCTGCCGTCTCTTGGGACCTATCCTTCTCATAGAAGCATGCAAGATTAATGTTTTCTGAGTTGATTCTCCCAAATTTATACTTTTTCATCGACCTCAGTATATAGCGTTTCTTGTCTCTCAAGTGCACTGGAGTTTCACTTACGATTAAAATCTCTGCTTTTCTGTGCAATAATAATAGCAAATACACAATGCCATGCCAACCAGGGGGCGAGGAATTACATTGATAAACATATAACATAAATTAATTCATTTAATCCCTATAACAACCTTTACAAAGTAGGAAATGTAATTACTTCCATCATAGGTAAGAAAACAGCGGCACAGAGAGGTAAAAGAGAAGTCATTTGGCTAGGATTTGGGTCCAGGCTGCCTGACTCTGGAATTGGTTAACCCATTATACCAGGCAGAGAGAGAGGATGTAAGAAACTGCCCAACGTGGGGTCCAAGGATGACTACCACTTTCCTTGTTCTCACCTCATGAGTGACAAAAAAATCTAGGTCCTTATATATAACTGGGAAACTGACCTATAGTTTTACTACAGATGCTTGTTTGGTTATTTCGTAGGCAATATAAAACGATAACTCAAGTAGCTTTTTCAGTTGTCTATTTACATGAACAAACCAACAGAAAATAGCCATGAATAATTTCTGAAACAATTGTATTGTGAAATATGAATGCTACCAATTTGTTCTAATTTATAGAGAATCCTGAAAGCTTAAAAAATTTCCCAAAGCAAATAATAGGGTACACTATCTATATTTGAAATTTGAGAAAATTGATTTATAAAATTATCTTAAATGTTAAAAAAGTTAAGACTAATGTTCTCTTTAGTTTTCCACTTTTCATGAGTTCTTTTCAATCTCTCACTGCTCCCAATCCCAAGCTTTTGTCCAAGTAGGGGGATTTTCTTCCAGGGCTAAAATCCTATGCGGGTCTCTGCGTGTGTTATCTTTTCTTTCCTTCCCTCTCCCTACCCATTTTTTTTTTTTTTTTGAGACGGAGTGTCACTCTGTCGCCCAGGCTGGAGTGCAGTGGCGCCATCTCGGCTCACTGCAAGCTCCGCCTCCCGGGTTCACGCCATTCTCCTGCCTCAGCCTCCCGAGTAGCTGGGACTACAGGCGCCCGTCACCGCGACCGGCTAATTTTTTTTTGTATTTTTGGTAGAGACGGGGTTTCACCGTGTTAGCCAGGATGGTCTCGATCTCCTGACCTCGTGATCCTCCCGCCTTGGTCTCCCAAAGTGCTGGGATTACAGGCGTGAGCCACCATGCCCAGCCCCTCCCTACCCATTTCTAAAAGAGGAAATGATGCTCTTGTATGGGTTTATTCCCTCAGTCTTTCCAAATCCAAACACTAATTTAGTACTTTCAGTTCTCAGCTGTATTCATAAGGTTATCTTTTTTTTTTTTTTTTTTTTTTTTTTTTTTTTCTGAGACAGAGTCTCACTCTGTCACCCAGGGTGGAGTGCAGTGGCACAATCTCGGTTTACTGCAACCTCCATCTTCCTGGTTCAAGCAATTCTCCTGCCTCAGCCTCCTGAGTAGTTGGGATTACAGGTGCGCGCCACCATGCCTGGCTAATTTTTTTGTATTTTTAGTAGAGATGGGGTTTCACCATGTTGGCCAGACTGGTCTTGAACTCCTGACCTCAGGCAATCTGCCCGCCTCAGCCTCTCAAAGTGTTGGGATTACAGGCGTAAGCCACCGCACCTGGCCTATAAGGTTATCTTTTAGAGTCAGTCATGACTATAGGCCTCCCTCCCAAAAAGAAATGAAGGAAAAAATGACTACAAACTGAACAATGTACTTAAGCTAAACAACCTTGACTGGAAAAAAAAAAAAAAAACTGTAAATACATTACAAGAGAAACTGTTCTGGCTCAGTCTCCCATTCAACCTACCCTAGGACTCTTGGGGAGACTCCAAGAAACCCTTGTGCTCTATGAGAAAGGTTTGAAAATAAGTAATATGGTGAACTCCTCTCATTTTACAGAGGGCCAAAATCAGTAAGTTGCTCAAGATCACTGCACTAGGAAATGGCTGAAGGAGGCACAGTCCACCTTGAAGCCCAAAGGATGCAGCTTTTTAAACAAGCGGCTGCCACCAGACCAGTCTCTCCAGTTCTCTAGGATTTCCTGGCTCTCTCCCTCTCCAGTACTCAACACAGAGACCTTAGTGTAAATATTATCACCTCCTTTCCCAGGAAAGTGGAGGCTTAAGTATGAAATATCGCTCTCTTCACAAAAAATTTAATACATTCTCAGAAAAATAAAAGCACTTAAGTAGCTGCTTGTTATTTTTCATTATTTCATGTTTTCATTATTTTACAACTGTCTTGATGGTTGTGATCTTCCAAGGGGATAACAACTATAAGTAATGCTCCACAAATTGTTTTAATTTATTTGTTAATACGGTCGAGTAGAGGCAAAAGGACTGTACAGATAGTAGCCGTTTGCTGATATTCCCTGAATGACGAGTTGTGGAATGAATTAGAGCTGCTGCACATACCGAAGGTTTCAAAAGTAGCTGTGCTTCAGTTAAGTGCTTATTCAATTTTCAGATGAAGTCATCAAATTAATTTTAAAACTCATAAAGTAAATACGTGCTTTAAAATATATGTTTTCTTCTAAGAAAGCAAAAATTATATCTGTTTAGGTTGTGAGAATATTTAATAATGTCAAAAATAAAAGAGGGAGAAAAGCCTTCAATTTTTTAGTGAAACACCCAACAGCAAACTCTCTGATCAATAGGGTATTTCTAGGCATGTTCCTGCTGAATTGACTACAGTTCTACATATGCAAACCCCATGGTTTATAAATTCTTTGACAATTTGGTCTCTTGAACCTATGAATTTTTTGTTCTCATCAGAAATATGAACCTTAAATATAGTTGAATACAGGCAAAAATTAAATAAATTGAATGATTATGTGTTATTCATGGAAGCAACCATAAAGAAAGTTAACCTTGAAAATATATTGCTTTCTTTTTTTTCCATTAATGTATCTGGTTGGGAGTTTATACCAAATGATTACTCAGTGATGCTTTTATTAAAACTACACCTCAAGGCCATTTGGCCTGCTGTTTAAGGTTTTGCTCAAAAGAAATAGCAGAAAGAAGTCAAGGTCAAAAAAACCCCAAAAAAACCTAAATGTATGTGAAGATAAAGGAAATATTCTTTAGATCAACAAAAAACTGATAACAAAATGCAGTATTAATACCAAAAAATTGAAAGGAAACCAATACACAAATTATCTTCTGAATGTATGTAACCAAATATAATAGAAAGAATTACTATTAAAATACGTAAATAAAAGTCAGTAATTTAACAGGTGATTTTAATAAATCACAATCCACCTTTTAAGCTACTGGGAAAAAAGGTTACTAACTTTATTGATAGAAATATATATATATATATCTTTTATATAGAAATCTTATATATAGAAATATATATATATCTTTATATATATATTTTTTCGAGACGGAGTCTTGCTCTGTTGCCCAGGCTGGAGTGCAGTGGCACGATCTCGGCTCACTGCAAGCTCTGCCTCCCGGGTTTACGCCATTCTCCTGCCTCAGCCTCCCAAGTAGCTGGGACTACAGGTGCCCGCCACCACGTCCAGCTAGTTTTTTTGTATTTTTTAGTAGAGACGGGGTTTCACCGTGTTAACCAGGATGGTCTCGATCTTCTGACCTCGTGATCTGCCCGTCTCGGCCTCCCAAAGTGCCGGGATTACAGGCTTGAGCCACCACGCCCGGCCTGATTGAAATATATTATCGGGGAAGTGAGAACAAACCTTATTTCTTTCCCATTCGGAAATAATTGGTAAAATCAATAAACTGTTGTTTAGATATCTTCACAAGAACAATGAATAATGAGAAAGCTGTATCCAATATTTCCTTAAAATTTCCTTTGGCCCTTGTCAGTCTACAAATCCCCCATTCCCAGTGGTGCTCAATTTCGACCCAGATGACAGTTCATTTTCAAAAAGGA